GGATGCCGAGGTGTTGCGGTGTCACTGCGTGTTATATTAATACGAACATTTTTGATTGTTTAAATGATCGGCCCTCGGGGGCCCCCTCAAAATGCGGGGCCCCAGGCAATTGCCTGCCTTGCCTGCCCTATTGTAGCGCCTTTGATTAGCAATGTGAATTAAACGATTTGCCCCTCCCGTCCCGACCCTGGTCTGTCCCTCCTGTCCCACCCTGGTCTGTCCCCCCCTCCCGCCCTGGTTTGTTCCCCTCGTCCCGCCCTGGTCTATCCCTCCTGTTCCGCCTGATGGAGCGTCTGGTAGCCGCTCCGTAGGGAGGGGGTAGTGTCACATGTCTGTCCTGTCTTTGTTATGCACATGAGTTTTGTTATGTTGAGCCATGTGCTCTTGTCGTTGTCTGATCCCTCCCCTTGTTATCTGATCATTGGTTTAATTGTCCCACCTGTTATCCTCGTTTACCTCATTGTTGCCTGCCTATTTAGCCTTCCTGTGTTTGCTGTCCTGTGCTCGTTCGTTGTTAATGGTATGGTTATGTTGTGTGTAGTTCTGTGCCTGCCACGTCATGTCTTTGGATTTAGTTTTGAGACCTGGATTTCTTTTGTTTGGTTTGTTTGATTTATGTTTCACTTAATTAAAAGCTTCAAATCTACTCTGCATTTGAGTCCTCACTCCACTCTACACAACCCGAACCGTGACAGTCAAGAGCCAGTCCCGGAAGTCTATGTGGTAGTTATACAGCTCTCAAATTTAATAAAAAATATCAACACATTCTCACCCCAAGGTGTCACCTTTGACCACGCTTCAATATTTGACGTTTTAGGCGCCCTTTAGCGTCACTTACATGACGCGATCCTACGGCGTCATCTAACTGACGCTAAAGGAAAGCGTCAGTTAGAGGACGCGGTTAGGTTTAGGTATGGGGTGGGGGTAGGGTTACACGCGATCCTAGGGCGTCATCTAACTGACGCTAAAGGGCGCCTAAAGCGTCAGATATTGAAGCATGGTCAAATGCTTCCCAAGGCGTCAGTTAGGTGACGCCTTGGGAGTGAGAATGGGCTGAAAATATCTTCATTTGTGTTCCGAAGATGAACGAAGGTTGGTACAGCATGGGGGTGAGTAATTAATGACTTAATTTTCATTTTTGGGTGAACTAACCCTTTAAATTGTACATATTTAAACAGATTGAACACAATCAAATTAAGTTTGGGGAAAATGGCTGTTGGCTCGCACTATACTGCCACCCTCTTGATGTAAGAACTTTTACTTAACATAAATGGTTTGTGTTTAGACAACAACGTGTTAGGATTTTGTACTGTTCAGTTGATACATAATTACATAGACCTTAATAGAAAAAAAACAAAGTCAAAAAACACAATTATTGTAAGTAAGCTAAATATAAATATATTACGTAAAGTGCACAACCTTCCTAGTTAATTTTTTTAGTATAAACCACATCATGGATAAAGTCCTTGCATCTTATATAATATAATAATAGTAATCAGCTGATTGTCTCACAAACGTAACCAGCACATTTCTCCCCACATAGCAAACCCATAATACAGCGATGGAGAAGAACCACATGAAACTATCCAACTACATTTTTTTTTTTCTAACAGGGTAGCAAAAGTTTAGCTAGCTAATATGAGCTGTTACTGTGGCTGAGCTGGTTAAAGTGTAAAGCATTGTTTATACTCAAAGTGACCGCATGAGCCCAAAGATGCATACGGCAAAAATGACGTGTAACAGCACGCACGCCAATGACAAGAGTAGCCTATTAATCTGCTGTCTCACGAATGTAACCAGCACATTTATCCCCACATAGCAAAGTCATAACAGTGAGGGAGAAGAAAAGTTACATGAAACAATCCAACTACATATTTTACACCACTGACAAGGGAAAAGTCACTCCTCACGGTGTCTATGGCTAGCTTCTAGCTATCTGCGGCTTCTCTTTCAAGGTAGTGACGAAACATGCTCTGTAGCGCTGTGTGTTCGCGTTCGGCTACGGTAGAAACATGACGTCACAATATGGCAACCTTCATAGAAAGGGGTTCCCGTGTTATGGAGCTATTAATGTCTCATTCTAAGGTAATAAAAACATTACGGTTTACTAAGTAAGTTCTTTATACACCACTGAAAACATAGTTATGGATGTCATATTGCATTACTGTTAATATATACTCATAATTATTACCCATTACACCTTTAACTATAGTATAGGCTAGGAAACATCTTGAAAACATTAGGTGGACTGCTGCTTTCAACATCCCAGCTCAAGACTATAGAGACTGCATGATGTTGTGGTGCCTTCAGCAGTCGGCATGTCAGGACATCGTTTTTCAGAGTGATTAGTCATATAGAGATGAAAAGGAAAAGGTATTATTAACCTCCCTGTTTCAGAAAACAAACTTTGGTGCCCTCTAACCAAAATTTAAACTTCAGCACATGATAAACTATCATTCAAAAATTTGGGGTCGGTAAGATTTTTGTAAAACATTAAAGGTGCAATATTTAACGATTTTCATGCATTAACTGCTATTATATTGCTGGTGTGTGTGAAAAGCTTGTAACAAAACTTTAAAAACAAGACCTTATCAGACTTCTTAGGTTGTCTATGAAAGCCTGTAGACTGATTTTTATGTGAAGGTTGTTTTAACCGGGAAAATGCAAAGGATGTGACGTTTTCATGCACTTTCGAGTATTCTCTGAAGCATTCCTGAACATTTATAAAATGTCCATATAATGCCGAAAGAGCTATTCTGTACTGTAATGTTAATGTATCATGCAAAGAAAGGGGATTCGTGCAAACTACAGTCAGATATGTATAGTCTACAGTCTCAAATATACAAACTATCATAAACAGAGTAATTGTAATGACCTCATCTGCCGACATGATGCCTTGAATCAGAGCTGGTGCAAACACATCCATATCACTTTCTCATCGCTGTCATTCTGCTACTTTTCTTTTTATTATCAGTTAAACTAATTTTGCTGCTTATTATTTTTGAGGAAACCATGATATATATTTTTTTTTCTGGAGCAGCATTTATTTGTACATTTTTAACATTATACATGTCTTTACTGTCACATTTAATAAATTCAGCGCTGAATACAAGCATTAATTTCTTTTCTCTTTAAAACAAAAAAATCTCACAGATCCCAAATTGTTGAACAATAGTGTTTTTCATAGCAGACCATTTGTGCTATAGACAAGAATGATACATAAAAGTGTGCTGCTTGCTATTTCTTTATATTTTAAAGTTGAAATCCTTTTTTCTATTTACTTTTTTTTATTGAAATCAGTGAAATGAGCAAAAAAAAAAAAACCTGCACTGACTAACGTTGTGGGGTGAGACCCAACCAGGGATCAAAATTTCATAGAGACTTGGAGATGCACTCTTTTAACATGGAGCTATAGACCATTTCACAAGATGTAAACAACACTGGTCCAGAAGCACTTCCTGTTTCAGTTTGTAACTGTTTTCTTTATTTCACATGTAAAGAAAACATCTTAAAGATGTTTGATTCAGTTTTAAATGTTCTGTTGGTTGTATTTTATCCCAGCTTTTATGTAGCCTAGTGTTAAAAAACTGAAACAGGAAGTGCTTCTGGACCAGTGTTGTTTACATCTTGTGAAATGGTCTATACCCAGAAATAATAATTGTCAGTGTGGACACAACCACCATACAATGGTAAAAATCCACCCATTCCTTTTTTATACCCATGAAACAGTGTCTCAAAATGAGTTGTTTGCATTTTCTACACGTTATGACATCACAGTGTAACAGGCCCCGCCCATGGGAATCTGCCATATTAGCTTAGCTCCTCCCCTGAGTCAGCTGTACGCAGTCTGCCATCGTCTTTAAAGCATCTCTCGGAGGAAAACGCAGGGCTCAAGCTCAAGAAGTTTACCTTTAAAAAAAAACACTTCTCGACTATCGATACCTTGCATTTAGTTTACTTCTTGCGTTTTCAGACACAAAGAAGTGCAGTGTGTGAACGGCACCGAATGGAGAAAAAGTCCATCGAGTGAGTTAACTTTGAAAATAATGGGAAAGCAGCACAGTGGAATGCAAAAAGATATTCTGTGGAAACAGCGCTATAATGTTTCTTCGACCGAGCACAAGATGTACAGGCTCCACCCTCTTCTGGAAAGGTCAGCTCAGCTCATTTGCATTTAAAGATACACAAAAAAAAGTGTATCTTTGAGCAGAAACTTCACAGACACACCAAATACTATACTTGTTAAAAGGGACATAATACAGTAGGTTACCTTAAAAGACTGTCGATGTTACGAATGTCCAGGGGAAGGGGCAGCCTAACGAAAAGCCCTAGACCCCATACTGAAATTTAAAGAAGATCAGAGGAGCTAGATTATTAATAGTCTTGTAGGTAAGGAGCAAGATTTAGAAATTATTTCGATATTTTACTGGAAGCCAAAGTGCTCAATGTGAGGGGTTCTGGTAATAAATCGTGCAGCTGGAAATAAATTCTGGACCAGCTGAGGTTTTTTTTTTTGTTTTTTTTTTGTTTTTTTTTTAAGTTAGAAGGAAGACCAAAGAGATGATAATTGCAATAATAAAAGTGCAATAATCTAGATCCTATAGCACAACCTAGTGACCACCTAAAAACATCTTGGTGGTGTAATTATTATTTAACTGCTCGCACAGACACCACTCAGTCTATCGTGTCTTTAAAGATGCTTTGAATGATACATTTATATTGTATAGCACTTATATTTTAGTATCATTAAGAGCTTATTAATAGATACTGTTAATGAATCAGTTATTTTGATGTTTGTCATTTTTATTAGTTTTTAAATATGTCTATTTTTATTTCAGTTTTTGTTTTAGTTATTTTGGTAACACATTATAACAAGGTTCATTAGTTACCATTAGTTGGCAACCTTAGTTAACATGAAGTAAGAATTATCAATACTTCTACTGCATGTATTAATTTTAGTTCATATTAATTTCAACATTTAAATTGTTGTAAGTGTGACGGGATAAATAATATCGTTGTGAGTTCGTTAAATAAATCCTGCAACAATGGATTGCACTTCCTATGGGATACGCGGGTGGCGCTGTAGGCTACCTCGCGCACGTACGATCTGCAGCAGAGTAAGAGAGAACTGCTGTGGGTGAGTCGGTTTTCTGTAAGCTCCGCACTAAAAGTGGAAAAATGTATAATTTCACCTAAATAATGTATGATTATTTGATGGATTGTTCATAAGAGAGACATATTGTCTTGTAAGAGTCTGTATTTATGAGTATTTTGAGTGCTTTATGTCCGCGATTTCCAACTGCGTCATATTTGCCATGTGCTCTCTAATGAGGTGAATATATCTTGGATAGGTGGAGCTGTGAACCTAATGATTCGCCATTTTCTCTCTCTTAATGCTCTGTGTGCAGGTAAATGTTTTATTTTATAGTGTTTTATAATTTTACTGTTCTTAAAGTTGTATCTATATATAAAAAGGATGATTTAAGTGTACTGTGAACAAGAAATGTTCATAAAAAATATTGAGTAAAGCAGAGTAAGAGAGAACTGCTGTGGGTGGAGCTGTGAACCTAATGATTCGCCATTTTCTCTCTCTTAATGCTCTGTGTGCAGGAAATAAAGCTTTTCATCCGCATTTTGAGTTCCTGTGTTGTTTAAGAGTGGGGCAGATCACTTACGAGAAACCAAAAGTCACATTGGTGCCGTGACTCAGGACTTCAATCGAGGTGGTCGAAGATCATCTGAACATCAGACCGGCGGGCCTGTCTTCATTCTTCATTGCACAGGACTTTCAGCTAAGCTTTACGGTTAAAAAAAATAAATAATAACCGTGATAAGTGACTCTTGCATAGACACTTGGATGTGATTTTATTTTATTATTTAATTCAGATATTCCTGCATTTGTTGATAGTTCTGTGGACATTTTTTTCTCTTTTCTCACTTTTACTTTTTTTGTTCAGTGCTTGATTATGGATCACGCTAAGTTAACTGGATCTGGATATATGGGTACTCCAGTTAGTGTTGGTCGAGGGAGAGGTCTGTTAGCAACACCAGTTCCTTTTCCAGACATTAGCTATGGTTTGGGGTTAGGAGCTAATGCTAGTCCTGATCAAAAGGCTAATGAGGACACTGATCGTGTAAATTGTAACAATTCTGAAAGTACACAGCCAATTAGCACCTCGACGCCAGTTCTTACTAGTGACATGATGAGTCAGATGGGTAGCATTGTACAACAAGTAGGACTGCAACTGGCAGACAGTATTCTTGAACATTTAAATTTGCGCAGTCAGACTGATGTCACACCAAGACAGAGTCATAATAGCCCCAATGGTAGATATATGACTGACCAAAGCTCTGCATCGAGTGCATCTCAGATTCAAGTAGTACGCCAGAGGGAAGTAAAAGATCCTCCAATCTTCAGAGGCAACGCATCAGACACGGTTACCCTGGATGAGTGGGTGGAGCTCATGAAAAACTTCATAAGGAAAGGACTTCTGCCTACTGAAGAACAGGGTGAGGAAATTTTAATGCACTTGAGAGGTAAAGCCAAGGATGTTGTTAAAGTGGGGATGCTGTCTAGTGGTTTGAATGTCAATACAGATCCAGATGCGATCTACACAATTCTACGGAAGCACTTCAGTTGTCAGCAGTATTCTCCTATCCCACTGCAAGATTTCTACACTACTCTCCCAGAGCCTCAAGAGGATCCCTTTGACTACTGGTTGCGTCTGAACCGTACTGCCGACATCACAGCTGAGTGTTTAAGACAGCAGGGGAAGGTACTAGACAACCAATTGATTGAAGTAACACGTATGTTCATTCGGAATTGTCCCAGTTCATATCTAGCGTTGACATTTCGCTCAAAAACTATTGACAACTGGACGGCGTATGAAGTACAAGAGATTCTGAACGAGTATCATTCAGAGAAAAGTCTCAGAGTCACAGGACAAGAAACTAAGCTGACTGGATGTGAGCAGAAAGTTTCGGTGAATGAGATGAAGGTGAGCCCTGGGCCCTGTCCAGTGACAACTGAACAAGATTCACCACAGTCAAAGCAGTCAGACAATATGGCTCTGGAAAAGGTGATCGATATGTTGGAAAGAGTTCTGATGAGTAATAGTGGTAATGCACAAGTCAGCAAGGATTACAGGAAGAGACACATCATGTCTAGAATTCCAGGCTTGAATGAGACGCCATGCTTGGTGTGTAAGGACACTTCACATTCTGCTTTTACCCACTGTAGGGACAACAGGCTCTGCTTCCAGTGTTTCTCACCTAACCATTCCAGAAATCGGTGCCCGAAGGAAAGGAAGACTACCTCCTCAAGCAGCCAACAGTTAAACTAAATGATCTACGTGTGAGGGAGGATCCCGTAGATTTTGAGAGTGAAGCTCCCATTTCCAGTTTTGATGATGTGAGGAATTGTGAGTCTTTATGTGACATGTTTAGTGATGAACCTTCAAACAAAACGGTTATCTTTCAGGGTGTTCAGAGAGTACCAAGAGCTGATAGCTTGTTCTACACTTCCGTTGCAGTCGAGCCTGATCTCATTCTCAAAGCTTTACTCGATAGTGGATCAATGGCATGTACACTTAGTGAGTCTGCGGAAGAACGATTATTGAGAAGTAACCCAGACTTGACAAGCCAGTCAACTGAAGATATTGTCATTGTTGGTTGTGGTGGCCATCATGTTACTCCTACAGCGTGCTACAATCTTAAAGCTACTGTGTACGGCTGCTCAATGATAATTCCTGTTCTGGTTGTGCCTGGACAGACGGAAGAAATGATTTTGGGTACAAATGTCATAAAAAGACTGTTGACGCAATTGAGAGAGACTGATGGTTACTGGAGGATGATGTCTAAATCAAGCAGCAATGAGAATGATGAGTGCTGTATGTTTCTGTCTCTTTTCTCGAATATCGAAGGGTGGAGAGGTGAATCCATACCGGAGAAAGTTGGCACTGTAAAGTTGCAGAGGAGTGTGACACTAGAGCCGCAGACTGAACATCTGGTTTGGGGTAAGCTACCTCAGTCGTCTGTCTTGTCGGTTGGCAGCACTGTCATCGTAGAACCAACCGAATCCAGATCGAGACCCAGGCAAATTCTGATTGGGAGGGTCATAACACCACTATGGGGAGACGGCTCTATCCCCTTGAGAGTCATTAACCCTACTGACCACAGAGTTGTGCTAAAGAGGAATTCGAAAATTGCTGACGTGTCTCCTTGTATTGCTATGCAGGATTTACCGTTACCAACACAGATTCAGTCAAATCTGCAGTGTACTGAGGAACCTTTACCACCTAGATCCAGTGAAGAGATGAAGCGTGTCTTAAATGAATTGGGTCTTGGTGAACTTGATTTGGAGTCTTGTGAAGTATCAGCCCAATGGAAGGATAAGTTGTTGTACCTCATTGAGAAGTATGAATCTGTGTTCTCAAGAGACAAAATGGACTGTGGAGAGGCTAAAGGCGTTGTCCATCGGATTAATCTCACTGACGACAGACCATTCCGCTTTCCATATAGGCGTATACCACCGAGCCAGTATGCAAAACTGCGGACAGCATTAAACGAGATGGAGGAAAAAGGAATTATCCGCAAGTCGCACAGTGACTATGCGTCACCTCTTGTTTTAGTATGGAAGAAGAATGGCGATCTCAGGATCTGCACTGACTTCAGGTGGTTAAATGCGAGGACTGTCAGAGATGCCTACCCATTACCACATCAGTCTGATGTGTTAGCTGCTTTGGGTGGCAATGCGTTCTTTTCTACCATGGATCTTACCTCAGGGTATTATAATGTTCCTGTAGCGGAAGAACACAAAAAGTACACTGCTTTCTCTTCCCCGTTTGGACTTCACGAGTATAACAGGCTTCCTCAGGGTCTTTCGAATAGCCCAGCCACTTTCATGAGAATGATGATGTCTATCTTTGGAGATGAGAATTTCAGCAGCGTTCTCTGTTACCTTGATGATTTGATGGTGTTTGCGCCGTCTGAGTCAGTTGCTCTTCAACGCCTTGAAATGGTTCTCTTGCGGTTGACGCATCATAATCTAAAGTTGGCTCCTGGAAAATGTTTTCTCTTGAGACGATCTGTGAAATTCCTTGGACACATTGTCTGTGAGGAAGGGATTAAGACTGATCCTGGTAAAGTTGAGGCCATTAATAACATCACAGCATCTGATTTGATGGAACCTGATGGAAAAACCCCGTGTCAGAAGAAGATCAGGTCCTTTCTTGGGATGGTTTTATATTATCAACATTTCATTGAAGGATGTTCAGCAAAAGCTAAGCCTCTATTCAAACTGACATCAGGTACAGTCAAACAGTCTTTGGTCACGAAAGGACGCAAAACAAGGAAGAAAGTCAGTTATCTCAAACTCTCTCCAGCTGATTGGACATCTGATTGTGAGGAAGCTTTGCGCATCTTGAAACTAGAACTAACAAGGAATGTGACATTGGCTCATCCGGACTTTGATCAACATTTCATTCTGGCTGTAGACGCATCATTTGACGGAGTAGGAGCAGTATTGTCGCAAGTTCTGCCTGGTGAAGAGATTGCCAGACCCGTAGCCTTTGCGAGTAGAACTCTGTCTCGCTCACAAATGAACTACCCAGCTCACAGATTAGAGTTATTTGCTTTAAAGTGGGCTATCTGTGAGAAGTTTAGCCATTGGCTGAGAGGACGGCATTTTACGGCTTGGACCGATAATAACCCTCTTACTTATATTCTGACTAAGCCACGGCTGGACGCATGTGAGCAGAGATGGGTGGCGAAACTGGCTTCTTACAGTTTTGATCTCAAGTACGTTCCAGGAACAAAGAATGTGGTTGCGGATGCCTTGAGTCGGGAGCCATTCGTTCAGTCTTGTATAGGCCATCGTCTCATCACTGAACCTTACTTGTCTCTTTTGAAGGATGTCAGTGGTGTCGTTGACAATTCTGTCCAGGATGCTTTCAAGTGCACGAGTAATTATCAAGTCATGCAGGAGGGTGGGAAAGATTCTGGTGAGCCAAACAGTGATGGACCCTTGTCTTCAGGTTCTTCTGGGAGTGAAGAAGTTTCTGCAGTGTTGGCAGCACATTCTACTGGCGGCTTGAGTGAAATACTGGGGATGGTACCAGCCCTCTCACCACCGCAACAGTTGAACCCTCCATTACAGCACAGTACCATTGTTCAGGAGCAGGAAATGGATAGCACCTTGAGTCGGATTCGTTACTACATTGAGAGATGTCGAAGACCATCTAAGAAAGAACAAACCAAAGAATCGAAAAGTGTGAGGAGACTGTTGAAACACTATGATAGGCTGCTCATCAGTGATGGTGTGTTGTATAAGGTGAAGAGAGATCCGAAGCTGAACAAGAAACTGCACCTGTTCGTTGTACCTGTTTCCTTAAAAACACAAGTTCTACAGGGAATACATGATGCAGCAGGACATCAAGGTCGTAGTAGAACACTGTCACTAGCAAGACAACGATTCTTCTGGATTGGAATGAGGAAAGATATTGATGATCATGTGGCGAATTGTTGTCGCTGTGTGGTTGGTAAAACTTCAGAACCCAATGCCTGTGCTTCGTTAACCAGTATCCGTACATCAGAGCCACTTGAACTGGTCTGTATCGATTTTTGGTCTGCAGAGCTCAGAGAAGGGAAGTCTGTTGACGTGCTGGTTGTGACAGATCATTTTACAAAGATGGCCCATGCTTTTCCATGCCAAAATCAGTCTGCCAAACAAGTTGCGAAAAAGCTCTGGAATGATTTCTTTTTAGTTTATGGATTTCCCAAGAGAATTCATTCTGACCAGGGGGCTAATTTCGAGAGCAAGCTGATTAAAGAACTGTTGACCATGGCGGGTGTGGACAAGTCACACACAACTCCATACCACCCCATGGGTAATGGCATAGTTGAGAGGTTCAACAGGACTTTGGGTAGTATGATCAGGACGTTACCTCCTAAAGCAAAATCAAAATGGCCACAAATGCTCCAGCAACTTACCTTCTGTTATAACTGCACGGAACATGAGACAACGGGCTTCGCACCCTTCTTTCTTATGTTTGGCCGAGTTCCTCGTCTTCCAATTGATATCCTGTTTCAGAACGTGCTTTTCAATGAGGATGTGGTGGATCTAAAGGATTTTGTATCAAAGTTGAAAAATGACTTGCGTGAAGCAGCACGTATAGCACAAGAACACACTTTGAAGGAACAGGAACGGCATGGCAGACTGTATAACAGAAAAGTGAAGGGATGCCCACTGGCTGTTGGAGATAGAGTGCTGGTTGCAAACAGGGGTGAAAGAGGCAGGAAAAAAATTGCTGACAAGTGGGAGTCGTCTCCATATGAAGTCATGGTGGTTTATCCAGATATCAATGTTTACAGAATTCGATCAATCACCTCAGACAAAGTGAGAGTAGTCCATAGGAACTTCTTGTTGCCTGTGAACTTCCTACCAATTGCTAAGTCCCAGAACCAGGATCAACGGTGTGATGACGTGAATGAGGAATTGATTCAAGGAAAAGAAATTGAACATGATGACAGAACTGCAAACTGGATATTAAGTAGTCCTGATGGTGTTGTTGAAAATGAGGAACATACAAACCGGATAGACTTACCTGATGTGTTGGACTGTGCGTCGGAGATCCTGGATTCCATGAGTGTTGACGCTGGGAGTCTGGATGCACGGAGTGATGTAACGCAGCAAAGTGATGTTGAAAGGAGTAATGGACATGCTCAGAGTGTTGTTGATTTACCTGAAATGGTTGCTCAAGACTGTGATTCAACTCGAGGAGAATTGTTTGTGCATGAGGATACAGAGGAACCTGTGATTTGCACACAACCAGAACTTGTTGATACAGTAGTGACTCAAACTAGACTTGGCAGAGTCATTAAACCTCCTAAAAGACTGCTTTATGAGATGAACACACAAAACATAAACAGCTCAGATTCTACAGTGAGTTCTTTTGTTTATTTAGTTAAACACATTTTCACATAAACAGTGATATTTGATTTTGTGCATGAGCTGAGAATACATAAAAGAATGTTGATACAGAGATTTGAAGTCTAATCAGGAGTTAGTGTATAATGATATTTTGAGGTGTAACAGGCATCTTTTTTTGGTCTACTGGGAGATTGGGGATAGGCGCCTTCCTTATCTGTCGGTACTCCTATTGGGAGAATCAACTGATTGACAGCTAATCATACTCCATGTGCACTTTATTCTTTCTTTATTGATGTTGTATTTCAGCATTCCAATTTTGTTTTTCTTCATCATTTTTTCTTTATTGTTGTTTGAATTGTAAAGTTACTGAGTTATGGTATATCCCCATTTAGCAGGATTTAAGGGGGGTGTATGTGACGGGATAAATAATATCGTTGTGAGTTCGTTAAATAAATCCTGCAACAATGGATTGCACTTCCTATGGGATACGCGGGTGGCGCTGTAGGCTACCTCGCGCACGTACGATCTGCAGCAGAGTAAGAGAGAACTGCTGTGGGTGAGTCGGTTTTCTGTAAGC